AAGCTAAAACATTGAAAGTAAGGATCCACTTATAGTAAGCTTTTCTGTAAAAGTTATTTTTGCTTCAAACTTTCATTTAAGCCTGCATACCCTTGGAGTCTTTTCTTTTAGTCGGGTAAGACTTGTTGAGTACCCTCAAGTACTCAGGGTTTATTAACCCCTGTTGTAGATTCTGACTTGTGCTTCTAATCGAGGTCATGTCAGTGGGCTTGACATGATCTGGTCATCTCTTCTACCTTAGATGCTTTACCTAAGTCGCTTCCGCTATTCTACCCACCTTTTTGAACTAAGTTAAAGTTTTTACTTGAACACGCTTTTTAACTAAAATTGTAAGTCTTCTGCACTCCGGTGTAAGTTATTTTTGTATCAAATGATGTAATGTTGTGGTAACTCCATTGTTGATCTTGTATGAGTTGTAAAAAGTGGATGATTCTGAGTTCCCGAGGACACTCGACAGACTACCTAAATTATCTAGCTCTCGTGTGCAGCAGTCAGAGGTCTTAGAACAATGATAGATGCACGTGGGCCCTATAATTAGGGTGATTCTGCCACAAATAGCAATGAAGGCTGACTCAGAAAAGATTTTGTCATACGTTAGATGCATACTAGAGCATGTTACTATTGATGGTCGTTAACATCAATCATAAACCAACATTTTTTCGTACATATATTCTTAATTCCCATCATCTATGTAGGTATAGTGGTTTAAACAAACAAATTCTATGAGTTTTGGTGCTCTCACTTGTTTTGCGGGATATTTAATTTTCATCGAATAAAAGTATCTCAAATGATGAATTGGAGTACACCATTGCGAAGAGCTCGTTGAGACGATCGAAACGGATATATTACTTGCTATATTTGGAGCTCAAAACAAAAATTTATCAATTTTTCAAACAAAGAAGTAAAAGTATCAGCGGCAACAGCGGGACCCACCACCACATAGTGCCATGCAGCCCAATTGTAGGCTGCCACGTGGCGGGCTGTGGCCACGCCGCGGGCATCAACGCGGGAGCACTGGGAATAGACGCAGGCTAGGCGGGCCCCACACGGTAGGTGCTACGGCGCAGCAGGAGGGCATGCGCTGGGCCGATGGGCCCCACGCGCAGGCGCTGCCGCCAGGCGGGGAAGCAGGCGACCGCGTCCGCCAATGGCAAGCAACCACGTGGCGGGTTGGTCGGCCGCATCGCGGGCGTCCGCACCTGTGCGCGCACGTGTGAAGGGAGCGCTGGCGTGGCTTTTCCCTCCAACCAGAATGCGTGTCGACGCGGGATAGGAGCCCGAAATCCGGTTTCCTTCCCAGAAACATTGTAGATGCATATTTCTATCGGTTTAGATCCGGTTCGAGCACCTAGAGTTCGGTTTTCTTCACAGGTCAGTGGGGAGGTTCCTTGGCGACGAAGTTATGATCTGCACCGCCCATGCAAGGTCGATTTGATCCGATGGTGACCATAAAAAGTGGCGTGGATCGATGACGTGGCGATTTCTAGGCCGCTACTCCATCTCCCCCCTATATAAGGATGCCCAGACCCCCTCCAAGAGGCACACATCTACACACCCAACGCTCCAGAGCTTCATATTTTCATACACCTTGTAGTAGTGTCCCTCAAGATGATTCTCATCTAGTTGTAATATAGAAAATAGGGAGAGAGAAGAGGAGAGAGCTAAGGAGGAGCTGGATCTGTCGGATCTTCCTCGACTTTGTATCTCGACGGGTGTAGCTGGTCTTCTAGCTGCATCTGGAATATTACTCTAGTATTTCTGGCATATTTTTATAGTATTTATTTTAAGTTCATTTATTGAATTCTCGCTTGCATCAAGTGTTCTAGTCTTTGCAAAACTAGAGTAGTAATTAATAGAATAGGCGAGGTACTTAGTCTTCGATTACCTAGAATTGCACCCAACCCTACGAATCGTTGTGGCAGCACCAGGTGGTGACAGCCCTAACGGCCGACGTAGTCCACAACGTTCGGGTTGGTGTTTGTAGGACCGTAGTCAGAACTTCCTAGCTCCTTTCTCATCTCAGTTTGAGGCTAGTGTTCTGATGTCTCGAAGTAAGTAAACATTAAAGTAACCTTATTCTTAGATCAGCTACCTTATCTTTACCCTTGGACAACTTCCATAGATTAGCATACTTCGCGTTCCCCGTAGAAATCGATATCTTGGAATACTCCTGGATGAAAGCTCTAGCGATATCCGTGCGCTTACGGATTTATCTGTTTACCTTAAAAAATACCAACAGTTACTAAAATCTAATCTAATATGGCATCTTTAGATCTTAACGAGGCATCAGATTATCAAAAGGTGTGCGTGATCCAAAATATGTCTAATAGAGAATTAAGTTTTGCATGTGTTATAACACAATCTCACTTAGCACTGATTTGTACTTAAACTCAACAATAGATTTTATCGGATGTCTCCGACGAGACAACTCAACAATAGATTTAATCTAAATATTTACTGTCCTTCCTGATGAATAGATCTGATCAGGCTAAAACAGAGGAATGAAACTAATATGCTCTAGCTTAGGATCATAGGATCTAAGTAGGCTCTTGATACCGATTGTGCAAATAGATCTTAGCACAATAGGATCTTAATCGTAGTCTAAACATGATCACTAACTTAATCTTATATGGAAATTAATCTTAATAACTAACCAGAGCCCATAGATGCCATCCGAGTGCCCTTGTACTTGATGTAGGAGTTGATGTAGACGAACTTATCTTCACCAATCTAAGAACTAGCATTCTCTCATGATGAAGAATTTTATGTAGATCCGATCTGCAACCTCCTAGACTCCTAGAACATGGAGTCGTGCTTCCAAACCCCTTGATCGCAACACCTAATTGATCGGTTAAATGTATTTAGGTGTAGATGAATTAGCCTTAATCCCAAAATCACCTTTTGGCTTTCTTATATACACGCTGTGGGCCGGGTCCGACTTCAAATAACCCTTCGTTGCCTGATCGTAGCAAATAACTTAACGGTTTGGCATTGACAGGTGGACCCTTACTTGTGTGCCAAGTTGGACTCGGTTAATTTGTTGATTGTTTCAATCTAGTAATAATCAGGGTCATGTTATTTCAGCTTCAAATTTGTTACACCTTATTAGTACAATTAAGCTACTAGTAAAAACTAAAATATATAGGGTCTAACTCTGATGGTCACCTAGTTATAGGAGATATTGTATATAATAGATAAGGAAAAAAGTTAACATTTAAAGTCTGATGGTGCGGAGCCAGATCGCCTCCTAAACAGAGGATGGCTGTTGATGGCACCACGCGGCATAGTCCACACCTGTGGTGATTTGTTTCGTTTACCGACTTCTCCGTTTCATCGCGCTGGAACAGCATGTCAGTGTGTTGCGTGGTTCCATCACCAATCCTACCGGCCGGCTAAGTCATTTTCCTGTTGTGGATACGACACTTGTCGACCAGTTGATTGTCCTGCAAATTGTGCCTCAAAAAGTGGTGCTGTAATAACAAGACCGCGTGTGTGTACTTGCATATCTTGTTTAATTACCTTTACGGCCTGCAGAGAGCGTCATCAGGTGTTGTTTTACCGCTTCCATGATACCGTTTTTATCACGCTGCGCCAAGCTACCGTTTGGATCACCAGGACTAAAATTCAGTCTCTGAACATCGGATGTTTGATGAGTATTAAATACAGATTAATTACAAAATTAATTATATAAATCAAGACTAATTCATGAGGCAAATCTATTAAGCCTAATTAGTCCATGATTTGCCCATGTGATGTACAGTAAACATATGCTAATCATGAATTAATTAGACTTAATAGATTTATCTCGCGAATTAGTCACGGCTTATGTAATTAGTTTATAATTAGTTCATATTTAGTCTCCTAATTGACATCCAAACATCTGATTTGACCCGAACTAAACTTTCTGAAGGATCAAACACCCCCCTTAAGACATGAAGATTGTGCAAGAGAATTCCAGCACGTTAATGCTACCAACTAGGCCATGTTCGCTTGTCTTATGAGCTGTACTATTTCAGCGAACGAGCAGTGTTTTTCTCTCACAACAAATCAACAAACAGTACTTTCAGTCATGGCTTTTCAGCGAAGCGAACAGGGCCGGTAGCAATCTTATGACAAGTTGAGATGTTGTATGTCACTGTGTCCAAATAATTTAGCGAGACAGAGATGTACTACTTATTAAGGTGACATGGTATCCAACCAATAGGCGCAAGATAACCAAGTCTATATAACATACTCTCTATTAAAATAATGTTATTTTAGAATTTAGATTTAGACTAAATTAAACCTTTTTTAATTTGATTAGGTACATAAAAAATATTATCTACATTTATATAAAAAACATATTTCATGACTCATTTAATAATCACTGCCCAAATCAGTAGGTAAGGTAAGCCGAGTGCAAGAGGGTTTGCCGAGTATAATTCAATTGCACTCGACAAACGAGAAAAAAAACACTCGGCAAAGTTCAACACTGGGCAAACTAGAAAAAAAACACTAGGCAAAACTAGGCACTCGATAAATAAATATGTTTGCCGAAAGCCGGCGTTTGCCGAGTGCCAGACCTGGGACACTCGACAAACCCCCTCACCAGCCCTACACACGCACAGTAGTTTTGGGTTTGAAAATGAAAAAAAATATGTTTAGAAATTTAGAAAAAAAACACGCTATGGAAAAGAAAGAAAATAAAAAAAAATGGGTTTGCCGAGTGTCCCGATACGACACTCAGCAAACTCGCAACCTTATAAACTCGCCCGGCCGCCGCCCCCTCCCTCCCACAGGCCTCCCCTCCCACTCCCGGCGCCGCCGCCTCCTCCCCTCCCTCCCTATCCCAGCCCCCGCCCCTCCCTCCTCTCATCTCCCTTGGGCCCCCTTCCTCTCTCATCGGTGCTGCCCCCTCCCCTCCCTCTCCCGGCGTCGCCCCCTCTTATCCCTCTCCCCCCGCCGCCCCTCCTCCCTCCCTCTCCCGGCGCCTCCGCCCTTGCCCTCCCCTCCTCTCTCCCATGGGCCGCCCCTCCCTCTCCTGGCGCTACCCCCTCTCCCCGCGCCGCACCCTCTCCTCCCTCCTGAGGATCCTGTTTCTTGTGGAGGCGCACGTGGATCTCGAGGATCCGGTCGCGGGCTTCCTGGATGAGGCAGCGGCGCTTGCCGTAGGCATGCTCGAGGCGCCGCTGCAGCTCGGCGGTGTGTGCCTGCGTCCAGCTCTGTCAATGCCTCCACCAGGTGCGCCCACGCCGCTGCCATCTGCAGGTTGCAGAGTAACACCGCCCATCGCCTTGCTTGCACCGCCAGCGCGTGACCCGGCCCCGCCCTGCATCCCTAACCCCTCTGCGTCGTTGTCGTCTACAGAGAGCCACCCCTGCACGAGCTCGGCTCGGACTTCCAAGTGCTGGCTGCAAGGTCGAGTGCTGCCGCCGGCCGGCCGGCCATGGCCCTGTCCCAACCCCCCCCCATCTCCCTCCCTCTCCCTCTTTTTTTGCACAGGTGGTGGAGGCGGCGTGGTGGTGGCGGCGGGCGTGGTGGCAGCGGTGGCGGGGGGAGTCGCAGGCGGGCGGCGGTGGGTTTTTTTATATTTTTCGAAAAGTCTTTGCCGAGTGTCAGTTTTAGCACTCGGCAAAGAAACGTTTGCCGACTCTGTGAATGCCGAGTGCCGTTTGCCAAGTGTAACACTCGGCAATGGCTTTGCCGAGTGGTTTTTAGGCTTCGCCGTATGCCGTAGACACACGGCAAACCTAGGCATTCCAGTAGTGAATCATATTGTTACATATTGTAAATCATACTAGTATTTTTATCTACCTGATTATAAACTTGAGTTTTATTGACCCCTAAAAAACGAGAATGGTATACCCAAAGAAATGAGAGTGGCATGTTTTTCTTGAGTTTTGCTCCGATGATCCTCTTTTTTTTAAAAATGCACGAATCTTAAAGTACCAGGGTGACTAATTATAATCAATTTTTGTTTTGGATCTGGATTGGGCGGACCACCAGAGCAGAACTCATTGGAACGGGGAATATATATAGTACAAAATCTTGGTTCCATCAGCGGAGTCTACGTCGCATCTCAGCTCGATCTTGTGCTTCAAGTTAGCCGTGAGCTATGGCATTCCAATCAAATGCGATCCTTTGTCCCTTTATCTCCAACTGTGTTTTCATTTAGCAGTGAGTTATGGCATTTCAATCGAGTGCGATCAGGTGTCCCTTTCTAACTGAGATGGCCACATTTTAGCAAAAGGGAATATTTCTACTATATATCGTTCAATATCTGGAAGCATGCAGTGCAAAGCTCATCAGCTTTTAACTACCATTCACCGTGTCTGAATGATCTACCAAAGGATAGAACTAGCTCCCGATTTTTTTTCTTCGAGTTCAGATAAAATTAGTATAGTAAGAACTAACTCCATGTAAACTAGAATGTTTTTCATTTTCATCTATTTGCAATGCTGACTCAGACAAATTTAATTTGCTGAACCTCTTAATAATCTCACTGATATTCAATTTTTAGCAACTGATGTTCCAAGTGAAACTAAGAAAATTAAGATGTGTTGTGAAAACTGGAAATGAATCAGGGAAAGTTGGCTGTAATTTACAAGGGGTGCGCTTTGCCTCGTGGGTGCATAGACTTTTATTAGAGGGGTGCGAATATGATGAAAATTTGATCATAATCACTGATTTTTCGTTTTTCATGGGTGCGCCCGCGCCCCCTATGGTGTACATAGATCTGCCCCTGCCGGTAAAGGATATAGGTGCACTGTTATGAGTCTCTAAAGAATCATAATGATGGGCACGACACTCGAATAGTTTTAACCTAACGTAGAGGTTCTATATTGGCTCCTGCAGATATCCACGGCAGTTAGATTTTTTTAAGATAATGAAACAAATCTTTAGCATCTACCATCCGGAGATGGTACACAGCTGGGCGTCAACCACAAAACATGCGGGGAATTAAAAAAGCAAGCAGGGAATTAAAAAGCAACAAAGTTTAAGCCCATCAGAAGCGTGCGACCAAACGGGAACAAATAGCTACGCTTCAATTCGATTCCGGAAGCGCCGATGAAGAGTAGTTTCCTTTTTTAAAAAAAAAAAGGCTTCAGGCCCACAAAGAAAACGAAAAAGATTTTCAGAAAAAAATGAAAGAGATGTAAACTAATGTCGGTGGTGCTGGATATTCGAAAAGAAAAGCTTGTCGGTGCTGGTGACGTTGGGCCAAGTGATATATTGGACCCTGATATCTATAGTTCTATATAAGCTGGCTGTTGGCAGTGGTTTGTTTCATCGAAGCAATTACAAGCAGAGTTTTTGGAGAGACGTGTAAGCATAGCCACAAGGAACAGTAGCCTCTTGAACACGCACGGGGAGGGTTCGAGAACAGAGAGAATGGCAAGGCAGAGTGCAGCCTCCATGTTGGCTACGGCGGCATTGCTTCTCGGGGTCTTTGCCAACATCGCTCCAAGTATATATATTTTCCCCCTTTCCTTACTGTATTAACTGTTTTCAGGATATGTTTGTGCTTGCAGCTAGAAAGTCGAAAACAGATTTTTGGGGAATGTAAAAGCTTGACAGTAACTTTAATACAAAAATAAGATTATTACTGTTAGAGTAATGTTAGTGCCTTTTGGCAGGGTTTTGGCTTCTTAAAAACAATAAAGCTAGAAGAAATCATATTTTTTATGGCTTCAACATCTTGCCAAAACAACGGCTTGGGTTTCACTAATTTTACCTTGGTTTTGGCTTCCAAAGCCATTCTCGTATGTGCTTGTTTAGTAAAGCTTTTGATTAAGTCGGTGAAGGAGCCACAATAGTGTTAGAGTAATGTTAGTATCTTTTTGGTTGTACTATTTAGTGGTGTTAGAGTATGTCATGCTAAAGAAGAAGCTATAAAAAAACCATGCTAAATAGTGTTAGAGTAATGTTTAGTATAGTGTTAGAGTAATGTTTAGTATAATGTTAGAGTAATGTTAGTAATATAGTATCAAAGAAGAAGCTATAAAAAACCATGCTAAAGAGGATCTTAGACATACGCGAGCTAGCTAGGTATATTGGCTTTTCAGCTATGATGAGAAAAAAGCTAGCTATTGGCCGTTAGCCTCATTCGTGCTCTAGCTAACGGCTTTGGCCATCCATATCGATCATAGATGGACTAGCCGACGGTCGGGGACGTTTCCTCTGTTTGGGCCTCTCGCATGTGGCCCCTCTCTCACTCTCTGCTCGCAGCAGCTGACAGTAAAATATAATCAATTGCTTGTAACGTCGACTGTTGCGAAGATTGCAGATAGATAGTATAGAAAGAAAGGTAGATAGATGGATAGATAGATAGATTGAGAGAGAGATGGGGAAGTTAAATGTCTTCTCAATGTAGAGATAAGAAGCGAGATGGGAAAGATAGATTGAGAGAGAGCTGGGGAAGTTAAATTTCAGTTACACACAGCGGACAGCGATACTCGCTGCCTCTGTTGTTTCATGCACAGGTTTCCTTTTCCATTAATTTCCTCACAATTTTACTGTGGTTAATTAATAAATTTGACTGAAGGAGTGCGTACGTACGTATGTGTGCAGGCGTGGTGGAGTCCATCGGGGTGTCCTACGGCATGAGCGGCGACAACCTGCCGCCGGCGAGCAGCGTCATCGGCATGTACAAGGACAACGGCATCACGCTGATGCGGATCTACGCGCCGGACCAGGCGGCGCTCCAGGCCGTGGGCGGCACGGGCATCCGCGTCGTGGTCGGTGCGCCCAACGACGTGCTGTCCAGCCTCGCCGCCAGCCCGGCCGCGGCCGCGTCGTGGGTCCGCAACAACATCCAGGCGTACCCGAAGGTCTCCTTCCGCTGCGTCTGCGTGGGCAACGAGGTGGCCGGCGGCGCGGCGCAGAACCTGGTCCCGGCCATGGAGAACGTCCGCGCCGCGCTGGCCGCCGCCGGGCTGGACGGCATCAAGGTCACCACGTCCGTGTCGCAGGCCATCCTCGGCGGGTACAAGCCGCCCTCCGCCGCCGAGTTCACCGACGAGGCGCAGGGGTTCATGGGCCCCGTCCTCGACTTCCTGGCGCGCACCGGCGCGCCTCTCATGGCGAGCGTCTACCCCTACTTCACCTACGCCACCAACCCGTCGGCCATGGACCTCAGCTATGCGCTCTTCACCGCGCCCGGCACCGTCCTCAAGGACGGCAACTACGAGTACCAGAACCTCTTCGACGCCACCGTCGACTCCTTCTACGTGGCAATGGGCAACCACGGTGGCTCCGGCGTGACCCTTGTGGTGTCGGAGAGCGGGTGGCCGTCCACCGGCGGCGTCGCGGCGTCGCCCGAGAATGCGGCCATCTACAACCAGAATCTCATCAACCACGTAGGCCGGGGAACCCCGCGCCACCCGGGCGCCATCGAGACGATCCTCTTTTCCATGTTCAACGAGAACCTCAAGGAGAGCGGCGTGGAGCAGAACTGGGGGCTCTTCTACCCCAACATGCAACGCGTCTACCCCATCAGCTTCAACTGAAGCTAGCTCGTCCACGTCCACGTACTCTACCGACCGGCCACCGTATCGTATATCCGTACGTCAATAAGTATGTAACCGTATGCGTCCCAGGCTCCCAGCAGGTGATTATGTATTGTACTCCTACAAAGGGATTGCTTCGCGACCACTGGGAGTGTCGAATGCTACTCTCAGATGAGTATGGCAGTATGCCATGCATGAAGATTCTTATACGTCGAGAGATCACGCATGGTCAACGACGTGTGAAGTGTGATTAATAATTTTCTTCGATTTTTTAGTGTTTTCATTGAAATTGAATTTGGAAATCAGAAAAAGCCTGCCATTCAAGAATAAGGTACGGGAATGGATAGCAAGTGTGTTTTCTTGCCTCGTCACGCGCAGGTCAACGACGGAAATTAACAGTCAACGGCAAGAGGATCACGGCTTGACGGCTAGCTGTGCATAACATCCTGAAACTTTGAACCTAAATATCAAAATTCAAAAACCTAATTTCAAGAACTCTCTAGTCAATCCATCTCTCTCCCTCTTCTCAATTTTTTAGCTTGAATGGCTAGCAATGCATATATATACTATCGTGCTCCTTGCATGCATATATACTATCGTGCCGGACGTAATTTGCAGTAGGTAGATTTTTCTTTCTTTTGTTCATCATGCATCCTCTTGAATTGTTGACAGACCGTCGTCGTCATCAATCATCGCAGGGTGTGGAACCAGGTCTCACCTTCAGACTGTAGCAAGCAACAATGAACCCCTCTTGAATTGTTCTGAATTGTTTCCAACATTATATACAGGCTATCTAGTACTCAATCCATCTCAAATTGTAAGACGTTTGACTTTTTTGACACCAAGTTTGACCACCCGTCTTATTCAAAAATTTGTGTAAAATATCACTTCTTTCGTCGTGGTCTGGTTTATTAATAAAAATTCTTCAAGAATGACTTAAATTTGACTATATTTGCACAATTTTTTTGAATAAGACGAGTGGTCAAACTTGGGGCCAAAAAAGTCAAACGTCTTACAATTTGGGATGGAGGGAGTAACATGCACTACCAAGGTGATAACGGTTCTGATTTTATTGGCATAATATGTTTTTTTAATGAATCGTAGTTCAATGGAGGCTGTTAACCCGCGACGTGTCGCGCGTCGTCTACCTCAGCTCGCGCCCGACTCCTCCCCCGCCCCTTTATCCCTCCCCGCCCCCTCCCTCGCCGTTAAGTCCCCGCCCTCCTCATCGTCCTCGCCCCCCGCCATGGCGCGGGTGGGAGTTCGGCCGAGCTCCGCGATGCCCGCCTTCTTTCCCTGCCCCCTCTCGCGACGGCGACCTTCCTCTGGCCATGGCGACCCCGCCCTTCATAGACCGCCACCTCCATCGCCGCCAGGGCCTCTAAGCCTCCCGTCGTCGTCCCCACCGTCTGGCCAGCCTGCCTCAACCCCCCCCCGAACCCCCCCTTGTATGCCCTTGGGTGAGGAGATCTAGTAACCCTAGCCACGGCCACATCTCTTTCTCCGTCTCCGGTAGCCACCTCTTCTTCCAACTGCTAAGCTTTTTTTTCCATACATTCCTCCACCTTCTTCCAATCTTTGTTATTTAACTTGCAATAAATTATTGGAACACCAAAGTAACGAAAAGGATAAGAGCCTAGCTTGCAACCAAAAATATTTGAGTAAATATATTTATTTACTATTTTTTGCTTCTCCGAAGCAAAAGATTTCACTCTTATGGATGTTAATTTTTAGACCTGATAATTATATTGTTCAAAAGAGTATAGAAGCATCTTCATGTTCTTTGCTTGTTCAATATCATGATCTAAAAATAACACTGTGTCATCCGCGTATTGCAAGATAGATAACCCATCCTGTACCAAATTAGGTACTACCCCTTTTATTTGTCCATCCTCTTTTACTTAGGCAATAATAATGGCCAACATATTTGCAACTATATTAAATAGTATGGGAGATAGTGGATCATCTTGCCTAAGACCTTTCTTTGTTTGAATATAAGGACCTAAATGGTCATTTACCTTGACCCCCACATTTCCTCCTTGGACGAAGGTTTGGATCCAACTACACCAAATTTGAGAAAAAACTTTCATTCAAAGAGTTTGTTGTACGAGCATCTCCAAGAGTTTCCACTAAAGCCTCCCACTCAAGGATTTTTAGTAAAAATAGAAAAAAATCCATTTTCAACTGTTCCCAATCCCACCTCCCAATCTTTCCGCGTTTGAAAAAATATACATATCGCACGGATATATCCGTGCGTGTTAGACGCGCATATCCACCGGCCAATCTAAAGGTGGAAGGGCGTGAGAAAGAATAAAGAGTAGGAAAGAGTTCTTGATTCAAATGTATAAGAGAAAAAGAATATATAAAAGTGGTTAGAATAATTTACAAATAGTATATGATTCCTGATTTAAAATTGTCTTCTATATTTTAGAAGTTGAATTATTAGAAACTGTTTGAGATAGTCTTATTTATTTCTTTCAATAATTTTTGGCGAGTTGGAAAACTCTATGGTTTTGAGAAGAAATTGTTGGAACTCTTGAAGATGCTCTGTGGCCACTTTCATAAAATTTTGAAACTAACATTCAACAAACAGATTGTTCCAAAATAAGAGAGCAGGGCGTTAACCTATGGAGTGGAAGAACACCTCAGATTGGTCTTTGATATGTGTTTGTGGATCAACATTGTGCTCTACAGTTGGAAGGTCACTGATACACGAACGAGTCTCTCTGCCCTCGTGGTCCAAGTGTCTGGTTTTGCTTCAGTGGGCATTGGTTTGAATATTCTTCTTTTGTTGTACCTTGTTGCATGTAGGGACTGATCAATGGTCCGGACACTTGGAAGTAGTCCGGCTCATGCTCACGCTGCTGCTCAACGATAGTGCTGTCCCCAGGCTGTAGATCAGGCAGCCCGGCTCGTGGGTCCCTTTCGCTCCGATGTTGGGAGCACCAGTAGCTAGAAGCGGCAACAGCTGCCTGATTGAAGGTGCAGGACTGCAGTTTCTGTAGATCGTGTCAAGGCCTCACCGCTACCAGAGGTACAGGATTGAAATCGCTGCAGTTTCTTTATTTTTCATCTCTATCGCATGACTCTGAAACTGCTACTTGGACTACCATCTTGCATTTCATGTGAAAAAAATATTTCAATCTAAATTTTGTATGAAAATTTCCATTTGCTGTAATTGGACAGCATTTTGTATTTCCATTGTGTTGAAATTGGACTAAGCATTCTGCGTTAACATGTGCGTCTCACATGTCTGAGACTACTACTTGAACAACTGTCTTAAAACCCAAAACTGAATGCCTGGTTTTTTTTTTTCAGTAGAGGAAAACATAACAGCACAACTGTATCATCTTAGCATGTCTCAATTTTTCATGGTGAGTATGCTTCAGTTCCAACAAGGTTTGAGTTATTTTTGTTCATAACAGTTTGGCATGTTTGGATATCTCTATTACTATTATAACACATATAGTCCCCTTCTGCACTTTCATTTTTATAACAATTATAACAAAGATCAATTACCATGCAAATAGGAATCAATTGTCAGTTTGTTTAGCACACTAACCATCAAGGTTGCAAATAGGAATCAATTGTCACTTTCATTGTATGTTTGTCATTGGTGGTGCTACATAGACATGATAAAATAATGCGTTCATTTCCACCATCAGCCGTTTCAATTCTACTCCATGGTCTCCTGTTTGATGACATGTAATTCAAAGTGCTTAGTGACAATGTAAACTAATAAGAATGATCACAGTTAAGTAGCAGTAGTTCAGCTACTATAGCGTACATTCTGAGTATCTATTTCTTGACCTTATGTCTCTTGTACTGACATGGTTGCTGCATCAAATTATTTCTATCACTGTAAAAGTTATTTCCCTAACAGATGTAATTTTGACCTCCACGTGCAGCACCATGGCCACTAGTTACATAAAAAACATGAAATGTTACGGCTTTCCAATGGTGTATCTGCATGAACTAACTCTTCTTTGGTTTCTATGACAATGGAGATAGTGCAAGAACAAAAGAGGTTCAAGCTTGACAATGGAAGAGGCTGATTAATTTGCATCAGGAACGATCTTGAGTCCCACTGGAATGAAGATAGTGCAAGAAATTAATGTTTTGTATACCTTTTTGGCTTGAAATGTGATATATTTACAGAGGTTATCTTATGATGTGGTGGTCTTTAGAAGAAAGGAAATAAATGTACAGAATCACAATGAGCAAACAGATCAATCAGTTGGTGAGAGCTGTGTGCATCACAATTGTCTGGAAGTAACACGGCCTCTGATGAATGGTTCGATGTCGCCTTCCAGGACTGAGTTCAAATCTGATAACTGGATACCTGTATTGAGATCATGGACCAATTTCTGAGGTCCAAATGTGTATCTTCGTGTTTCAGAGTTGCACTTATCCTCTATAGCTTGTCTGTTGATCAGTTTTATGTCCGATACTCTCAATTCTCTAGCTACTAGAAGGAGCTTTGCTTTCAACCTACTTGTGGCTTTTAGCTTGTTTGCAAAGTAGCTTCTCTCACCTGTTGATAGGATGCCTCGTTAAATTCCAGTCACAATCACAGTAGCATACCAGTTCCTATTTGCGTAAGCAATGTTTGTTCAGTACCTGAACTTTCAGCAGTGACTCCACTTGGTACGTGTTGAACCCTAACAGCAGCTCCGTTTCTTCTGTCTCGCTTCTTATGTACAGAAGGTGAGGGAGAGGTCTCTATATCACCGTCATCCAAGTGAAGATCAACTGGTCTATCCAAGAACAGGGGAATTATGTCGACTCTAGCTGATAAGGCCTGCAAGCTTTGGTACATATCGGGTTAGCCAACCTGATACACATAGCAGCATATGGAAAAAGATCATTGATAGAATCAAAAGTAACGTATGAGGTTTAGCATTGAAATACTAAATCAGAAAGCATTACCTCACAATCTACTCTATCCAAAGTAGTTCTATTTGCGGTTGGTCTATGCATATTAGTCAACACTTTTGAGCTTAAACTCTGAACATGTGAGGCTCAAGCATTACTTTCTTTGACTTGAGCAATCTATTGGCTAATATATCTTGTAGAGCAGCAGCAGCTTACTGCTGTATGACATTTACATGTATAGTTTGTCATGTATATTAATCTAAACTTGGCACTAAACAATTCCTGATGAATTCTGATAAAAATTAACAAATTACAACAGAAAGCATAATCACCTGATCAATGTCAGAATTTTCAAGGGAGGAGTATATCATTTGATGCATTCCTTTTTCTCCAGAAAGGGTGCCAAACATGTACTCTGATTCAATCTCCATTGCTGCAGATTGGATATGGCCACTCGTTGAAAATATCTTCTCAATCAATCCAACCTTGTAACCTTGCTTCCGTGCCCAACTTGTATACATGCCAAAGACCTTCTCTGCCCACAGCTGCAGCGAACAAATATCAACATTTTTGTGAGTAAAAAAATATCATAGTTAGCCATTTCAACGGTATATATCAAAACTTCAAAAAGTTGATATGACCACATTCAGAGTAAAATACCAACTCCCATCTAGCAGTATGAGAGTATGAATCACTATAGGCTATTAGCATATTTGAAAGAAATTTCATGAATTAACTGACCATTCAGTAGCTTTATTTTTTACATGGACTTGAGCAGAATACTAGTTAACGACAAATTCATAAAGGCAAAAAGGGCAGTAAGGTTATCTATTCAAATAGAAAGGTGAAATTGTAACTAAAGCTACATCAGTATTTCTTATACTATTATTCTATTATCATTACCTTTAACCATACACATATAGAATGCAACTACAGTTAACTTACCTCAGAAGTAACACCGTTAGATACTGCACTAACAATAATGCACGCTCCCTCCTTGTCATATGGACCCTTAAGAAGCTTGTACATCTGGTAGCGATCTAGATACTCGCTAGCATCTACTGAAGATTTGTAAGCTTGCTTAAATAGCTCACCATTTATGGCATCCATCTCTGATAGTTGACTAATCAACTTCGCCTCTTCAGCCTGCACAGTATATCTAATGGTCACCAGCCAGAAAACACAAGTGCCAATTCAAATTGTAGTTTCTGTGGACAAAATAAAGACAAAAAGAAAGTCGAAACTGTATATTTGCATATTTTAGTGAAGGGAAGTGACAGAGTACACATGGTTTAGCTTATCTTCTGAAGCCTGTTCACATGCATGAAGCATCACACTATAAAAAGCATATTTGTTTCTGGAAATCCTGAGAACAAAAACTGTTTGTTGAACTCATATTACTAAGCACCTTGAAGCGAAGATCTTTTAGATGGTCGACCACCCTGATAGCGTCTGCCAGAGCAGAGAGCGTCTCATGTGACTTAGCTGGATTATCCCACAAGTTACGCTTCCGCAATACTTCTTCCTGTTTAATTCTCTGTGCTTCCTCCAACTCCAAAGCACTGGAAGCGGTTGTTTCAACCCGCACAACTGCATCTTCAATCCTCTTTTTCAAGGAGTACAGACCTTCAAACAACAAGCAAACAGTTTATTTAGGAACTTGAGCTTTTGGGTTTAAATACAAGGAACAGTACTTTGTTAAGCTTGGCTCAGTGCAGTGTTTCCCAACCACTGTACTTTGATGCAAAAAGACAATTTTGTGTTCTATATTCAGACTGCTATTTATTATGGAATCAGATGAAGATAAATAAACTTTGTGCCACGAAATCAAACTTTTAGATTGTCTGTGAGTTAAGTGGCCAAGAGCTACTTTTGGTCAAGCAAGAACCCTGTCAGACAATCTCTTGACCAACCAAATTAGCCAGTGGTGGACCCAGCCGAAAAATTCAGGTAGGGCGGGCTGCCACTTATATCTACCAAATGTCACCGATATTTCGGTTTAGCCATGAATGTATACCATATTTATATTGCTATATCATATAACAATTCTAATTTAGTCATTTATTCAACAATAGGTGTTAAACTTGTATTCGTAAAACGAATATTGACAAACTGAGGTGGAGTTTGATACACAGCAATGGTTTTTGGATTTGCAATTAGGACTAACAATAACTTCAAATGTGTATCAAGAATAGCATGTTCACGACTAAATTGGCATTCAGCAAAACATTCGGAACAAGAATTTGAAAGATTGCTGGACTAGCAATTGTGGGTTTTCAATCAAAATCATCAAGTATAAGGGAAAAGGTAGCTGCGATTTGCAGGTACACTGCTTCAAGTCTGCACGATATCTGCTAAACAAGCCAAACAAAATTAAATACGCTCGACTTACAGTTACAGCAAGCTCAATCAGTAGCAACTTTCTTCCTTGTTGCCCTTGCGTTATCATACACAAATTTGAGCATTATTAAACTGCGCACAGCCGCTGCACCGCGGCGGGCCTGGGAGTGGGGCGCAGTCGGAGGGGAGCCGCTGCTGGCCGGCTGCCGCTGCCCGCTGGCGGCGCGCACCACGCAGGCAGCCACCACGTAGGAGAGGGAGGGCAGCAGAGGGATCCGGGAGGGGAAGCACCAGGAGGCCGACGTCAGAGCTGGTACGCTGGCACGGCGACCGGCGAGGGCGAGCCGTGGCCGCCGAGCGCCGGAGCATACACGCCTTGGAGCGCCGCCGCCGAGTGTGGGTACTGAGGTGCGCTGCACGACTGCTGGCTGCCGGCTACGGTGGTGTGCTCTGCTTGCCAAAAGGGCCTACCTAATTGGTGGGCCTCCGGCCCATAGACGCCCCAACTCCCTATCGCGAAGTCTCCCCTGCACGCAAGCCATCTTCAACCTCCGCGCGGCCGCTCGGAACGCCACTTCGCCAGTCGGGGCTCCATGGCGATGCCACCGGAGGTAAGGGGTTCCGGCCAGAGCGGCCGCCCTACCTCACCCTATAGGTCGGTCCGCCTATGAAATTAGCTATTTTGCTACCTTCTCCTTTCTCAGTTCGTCCAATTGACCCCGCATTGTACACTAGGCATCACAAATTTCAACGACTTCTTCCGCAACCTCCCAGGGATGCGCATAAAGCTGCGAGTGGCGGACGTACCGAGTTTCTTATAGGAGGCAGCGCCATCACCGCCGCGCCCATCCGCCGGGAGGGCGGCGGCGCGGACGGCGAGGCGGCCCGTGTGGAGGCCGGATGCAGACGCTCGTGCGCACGCTGCCGGCGAGGTGTCCGCTGCCATTCCAACGGCGAGACAGCAAGGGCAAGGTGGCGGCCAGCGGGAGGCGGACGCGAGGAGATGGTGGGGGTGAGGGGGTGGCTTAAGAGTGGAGAGGTCGCTGAGGTTGTGCGGCGGAGGGAGGGGCAGCCTGGCGCGGTGTGGCTCACACGCGCCTCATCCGCCGCCCAATCGCCGTGCACACAAATAACTACTGCAGTGCATATGAGCATCATCCGTTTGTGTGCGTTTAGTAGAGACCGGGATTCCCCTGCAAATATTTAGATTCAGTATTTTGTAGAACAGCTGAATTAGATTTACTTTATGAAACTATTTGGCTAGCTTTCTGGATTTTTGAAAAAAAAATCATTTTTATATTAGAAAACACAAGAAACAGAAAATTTTTCTACCTACCAAAGAGGGCTTAGTAGATTGTGCTAAAGGTTTCTCTATCCTATTTTAAGTATTTTGTCCTTATTAAACTATGAGTGTACTTGTACCATAAACGCGGCAAAACTGCCACAGGAAGTGTGGCATGGTGCGGTAAACTACCATAGTCAACAAAATAGTCCTAAGGGCTGTGTTTAGAATGCATGAATTTCAAAAGAATAATGAGAGAATTTCACAAAGAATCAGTTTAATTTTACAGAAAAAACGCAGGAATAAAGAAAATTTCCCGCATTCCAAATAGACCCTAGGGATTGGACCTTAAAAAAGATTCTAGAATGAGAGCAAGTCTAAGGGTTTAGATAGAGTAGGTACTAGAACGACAAAATGGTTGTCACATTGTGCTTCTCTTTCCATTGATCCTAACTCAAACCACAACGAGTGCATATTTCTCTGCATTTTATTTGACAGTGGTCCAATATGTGGGGATAGCTGGGCAGAGGAGGCGTTATTCCAATACATCAGCTTTTGCTAAGATTATCCTCTTATGGGGTAGTGAGAGAAAGTTTTAGTTCCTCACCGGATTGTACAAGTTGTAAGAGCAACACCAGGAAGGTCTCTACTCAAGCTCATGTCCTACTTTTGAGGGCTTCGAGGTTAAAAAACTCACTCCAGCAAGACCCCTACTCCGGCCCTCAATAATAGGAGGCCCTTAAATCTCCCTCTCGAGCCCTCATTCCACGGAGGTTTGGAGGGAGCCCCTTACTTTTCTGTTTTGACGATTAATCTCCCCGCCCCCTATCCGGAACTCGCTCGACCCAGCGCGGCGCGCTACCGCCCGATGCCCCCCCCCCTTCGCTTAGCATGGACCCCGAGTGTGGTCGCGATGCATGATGCCCTTGCCCTTCGCTTAGGGTCATTGCCACCCACGACGCTCGCCCTCACCCTTGGGCACAGTCGTGATGTCCGACGCCCCTGCCCTTCGCCTGGATCTCGTCTCCGTCTCGACGGTGTTCTATCCTGTCCCCGGCTCCTCCCGGTGGCGGTGAGATGGGTGAGATCCACCTCGGTCCCCGGCTCCTCTCAACAAGGTCATGGTTGGATCCTCTCGGTGAGGTCTCGGCCAGCCCTCACCCGACGTAGCCCCTGCTCCTTCACTATCTCCGGTGACCGATGCTCTTCCTCCCCTGATTTTTCAGTGTTTGGGTCGAGAAAGTCAATGGCAAACGGGGTTCTAGGTGTCATCCTCCATTGGAATAAGTTTGGTGGCTCTATTTTGAGGACCACTGCTTGAGTGCACTTCAGAAAACAGAACCCTCAAAAGTGAGAAGCCGTCAAATAAAAAGTAGATGTCCTATGTTGAGAGCTACCGCTAGAGTTGCGCTAAAAGCATATCATCTTTTTTAGCAAGCATACTATACTATTCAAATAATGCATTTACTAACCAATCCAACGAACAACAACCATGCATAGAACAACCTATCATGGCAATAAATACACATAGAGGAATAATAAAATACGTCTTGTTTAGTTCCACTCTAACTTTTAAAAAGTTGCTACAGTACATGTCACATCGAATGTTTGCGGCTCGTGCATGGAGTATTAAATGTAGACGAAAAGAAAAACTAATTGCACAGTTTGGTGGGAAATTGCGAGACGAACGTTTTGAGCCTAATTAGTCCATGTTTGAACACTATTTGCCAAATAAAAACGAAGATGCTACAGTAGCCCCAAAATCCAAATTTCGTGAACTAAACAAGGGCATAGTCATATTTTGAGTAAACTAGAGCGCCCATAGCGTGTGAAAAACTATGCCTCAATCAATAGACAGAGAGAGCTGAGGCATCGATTTTGCCGTTGCAGGTGGCAATGGCTTGTTTTTTTTTTTTTTTTTTTTTTTGACGAGAAGCAATTGCTTGGTTGAAAAAAATACCAGCCTCGATGCTTCTACCGCTCCACGATCACTGATGCCTATTAAATAAAGAAGGGTTCTGACTTCTGAATGGTTCTTGATTCCTCGCTTGCCTGGGAAGGAGAGAGGCATACAAGTGTCAGGGAATGGCCTGGCTGACCGAGTGGTCACTATAGGCTTAGGGCACGTTTAGTTCCACAAAGTTGAAATTTAGGGCTACTGCAACACTTTCGTTTTTATTTGGTAATTAGTGTTCAATCATGGACTAATTAGGCTCAAAACGTTCGTCTCGTAATTTCCCACCAAACTGTGCAATTAGTTTTTTTTGTCTACATTTAATGCTCCATACACGAGCCGTAAACATTTGATGTGATAGGTGCTGTAGCACTTTTTAGGAATTTAGGGTGGAACTGAACACGTGCTTAGAGTTCAAGTTTCAAAAGACTCATTCTTTATTTATGGCTTCAACAACAGTGATCAAGGAGAAAAAACTCCATCGTTTGTTCTATATCCAAAGCATAGGTCTTTGACCAGCTCATCTCACAGAGCTACGGTGCCCCTGTATATGGATGGGACAGAAGTTCAGAGATTTTCTCGATCTGCATGAGAAAATCTTTTTGTTAAGCCGGAATACCCGGAGCTATCTAGCCACTACGAATCGAGTTTTTTTATTAATCAGATGATAGATTTCACAAAGAGTCCTTATACAATGCGATTAGAGTTGTCTAGTCACTTGACTAACAACTAGTACAATGTCTAGTAGCTCTCTTATTTGCATGAGTTAGAGCTACTTTTTTAGGTAGGTAATAATTAGTCCGGGTATCTAAACATACCTTTAGCCTGTTCGTTTCGGCTGGATTGGCTTATAAGTCATGGCTGAAAGTACTGCTGGCTGGTTTGGTGTGAGAGAAAAATATTGTTCGTTGGCTGATAAGCCAAGGCTTATAAGCCGAATACGAGCTGCCGAACAGGCTGCTTATGTCTGTGAAATAGTGTTTCAAATCTCGCTACACTATTGCTCTTCTTAGTTCACTAGGTTCATGCTCGCGCGTTGTTACGAGACAGCTAAACTTTTGTGCTAAAACACATGGATCGCATGATAAGATAACAATACTGTGAAATTAAATGCCGACGTTAAAATAACATTTAATCCAAAAATTAAAGTTGGACAATACCCCACGCGTTGGCGCGGGCCAACCAAAGGTAGTGATTGGTTGAATACATGATTTTGTTGTACATATATGAAGACTTTAAAAACATATATGAAGACTTTAGGTTAACTACCTATTATAACTACATAAAGAAGAAAGGCTACACCTCAAATAGGTGCTAAAATAAATTGATCCCAGTATGTGACATATGATGAACTACTATGCGAAGCCAATACCATATGAATTGTTTGGTTGAAACAGCATGTCATATGCAACACTCTTCCAAGTGTCAATGAAATCGAAGAGCAGGAGGGGTCTGGCATACTGCAGTAATATATCTCAGTTATACCATGTCAGAAGAGACCTCAGCTGCAATGCAAAATAGATATGATATAAATGTTTGGCTCGAAATGTCATGTCATATACACTATTATTCGAAGCAAGAATTAAAAAAATTGGTCAATCGAAAAGAAGACTAAGAGGGGTCCGGCACAAAGCAACATCGTAATGTATGTCACATACACATTGTTAAACCTTTACAGAGTGTGAAGACTAGAAATTTGATGACGCTATCCAGATTTGAGAGGTGCTCAAAGTAAGTCCCACCTCTATGTTTCAATCAGCAAGATTGTTGAGTTAAAAGTGATTAGAAATGCAGAATTATAGGAAGGAGATCAGTAACCATAAATTCACAAACACATCGTTGCAGCTCGGTTTCTGTATTTTTCTTTCTACTTTATTTGTGCTGCAATTCCTTTTCTTAGACAGATAAGCATAATGGGGCGAGGTAAAATCTAGATCAACATGTTCTATTATTGGTCGCTACACATTGCAGGGTATCCAAGAAGTTGAGAATGGGAATAACAATCAGAACCAATAGTTGTAGTAGTACATGAGAAAATAGATCAGCCAGGCAGGTTAGCATGCTCTGTTCAAGATCTCCAATGTTTTTATTGTTTGCATAGTGCTCCAGCAACAGATCACGGAAAGGAAGACAAAAATGACGTGCCTGAAACAGGACACAGTGAGATCCCACATTATGAGGCGAACAACATCCAAAACATCTTGAACAGAGGTGGCTGCACTATATGCGAAGCAAATACGATGAAAATGGAACTATAACAATCTTCCCAAAATCAGCACCATCAGGCAATCAATTAGTGAAACAAAGATTGGCAGCCAACATATGTTAGCATAGTCACCAACAACAAGGAAAATGGTAGACGACTGACAGAAAGGAGAATTTTGGTAACCTAACAGAGGGAAACTATCACACCATGGTCATGTAGAAAAATGTGATTGATTCAGGATGGCAGTATACTAATTATGCCCTAGATATGATTTTGCTGGGAGCAACCAAGGAAACCTTGATAATACAATCACACCATGGTCATGTAGAAAAATGTGTAGGATCTGTACCTGGTAAGACCTTGATAATACAATCACCATGCATACTAAAGGAAGACATTGAGACACTAAGTAAAATTGATCACCTACGTTGATATGACAACATTACCTCCATGTGACTCATGTACATGAGTAGCTCTCCACTTGGGGCCTTTGGCTGTACATGA